CAACATGTATGTGTTTTTTTTTATCAGATACATGATTTGCAATGATTTCTCCCAATCTGTAGCTTGACATTTCCTTTAGTGTTTTTTTCCAAAGTTGTATTTAGGTATAGTTAACATAGAATAAAGTGCATATGTATGCATTTATTTACTTAAATTAGTTTCAGGTATACAGTATATTGGTTAGACGTCTATATTGTTCATAAAATAATTCCCCCAATCGCTCCCTCCCTCCCCTGGCCCTCCGCCCAGCCATCATATTACTGCTGACTGCATTCCCTGTGCCGTGCTCCCCATCCCTGTGACCACTATCAACTACTGATTTGTACTTCTTTAACCCTTCACCCCATTCTCCCAGCACCCCCCAACCGCCCTCCCCTCTGTCACCAAATTGTCCACTATATTTGTGAGTCTGTTTTTGATTAGTTCTTTTTGTTCCTTAGATTCCACATATGAGTGAATCATATGGTGTTCATCTTTCTCTGTCTGACTTATTCACTCAGCATAATAACCTCTAGGTCCATATATTTTTTATTTTTACATTGTTAATTGTCCTAAAAGTTCTCATCTTATTTCTATTTTTAATAAAATATTTCAGGCATATAGTAAAGGCCTGCCTTGCTCCCTCCCTCCATCCCTCCCTTTTTTTTTCTTTCATTCCCCACCCCCGCCCCGCCCTTTGGCCACCATCCATCCCTTTCTTCTCTATATCTGTGGGTCTGTTTCTGTTTTGCTTTCTTTATTCATTTACTTCTTTTAAGATTCCATACATAATTGAGATTATATGGTATTTGTTTTTCTCTGACTTATTTCACTTAGCATAATACCCTCTGGGGTCATCTGTGTTGCAAATGGCAAGATTTCTATTTTTTTTAATTAATATAATTTTTACTTTTTGGTTATAGTCATCGTACAATACTCTATTAGTTTCGGGTGTACAGCATAGTGATTACACATCCATATAAGTCGCAAAGTAATCACCCCAATAAATCTAGTGCCCCCTGACTCCGTACGTAGTTATTACAATATAATTGGCTATATTCTTTATACTGTACTTTCTATCCTCTATGACCGTTTTGTACTTCTTAATCCTTTCCCCGTTTTTCACCGGCCCCCCCAACCCCCCTCTCATATGGTTACCCTCAAAACGTCCTCTGTATCTACAAATTTGTTTCTGCTTTTTTAAAATTTTGTTCTTTGTATTCCACGTGAAGTGAATCCAAAGAACAAAATTCGTCTTCTTCCGTCTGGCTTACTCCACTCAGCACAGTGCCCTCTAGGTCCATTGCGAAATACCTCTTTCTGTCCATTACTTTTAGTGTGTGTGGGCCTTTTAATCTGCAGTGAGTCTTGTAGGAAGCCTGTGGAAGGGTCTTGTTTTCTTATCCATTTAGCCACCCATGGAGCATTTAATCCATTTACATTTAAAGTACTTGTTGATAGATATATAGTTATTGCCATTCTTTATTCATATTTTTGACACATATTTTTTTTCCTCTTAAAGAAGTCCTTCCAACATTTCCTGTAAAACTGGCTTGGTGGTGATGAACTGCTTTAGCTTTTACTTGTCTGGAAAGCTCTTTGTCCTTCCATTCTAAATGATAGCTTTGCAGAGTAGAGTCATCTTTGTTATAGGTCCTGGCTTTTTATCACTTTGACTATTTTGTGCCTTTTGGAATCTTCTGGCCTGCAGAGTATCTGTTGAGAAATCGGTTGCCAGTCTCGCTGGAGCTCCCTTGTAGTTAACTATTTGCTTTTATCTCTTGCTGCTTTTAAGATTCTCTCTTTGAATTTAACCTTTGGCATTTTAATGATGATGTGTCTTGGTGTGGGCCTGTTTGGGTTTATCTTGTTTGGGACTCTCTGAGCTTCTTGGGCGTGTATGTCTACTTCCTTCACCAGGGTAGGGAAGTTTTCCATCATTATTTCTTCAAATAGGTGTTCAATCCCTTGCTCTCTCTCCTCCTCCTGGTGCCCCTATGGTGGGAATGTTGTTGCGCTTGATGTTGTCCCAGAGGCCCCTTAACCTGTCTTGTTTTGGATTCTTTTTTCTTGTTGCTGTTCTGAATGGGTGTTTTCTGCTACTTTAATCTTCTAAATCACTAATTTGATCCTCTGCTTCATCTAAGCTACTATTAATTCTTCCTAAGTCATTCTTCATTTCAATTATTGTATTCTTCATTTCTGACTTGTTCTTTTTTATGTTTTCTATCTCTTTGTTAAAGTTCTCATTCAGTTCATCTCCTCCTTTAAGAGTGTTTGGATTTCTTCAGATACATATCCAGAAGTGGAATTGCTGAGTCATAAGGTGGTTCCGTTTTTAATTTTTGAGGACCCTCCAGACTGTTTCCATACTGGCTGCAGCAATTTGCAGTCCCACCAACAGTGCGCGAAGGTTCCCTTTTCTCTACATACACACTAACACTTGTTACTTGTCGATTTATTGATGATAGCCATTCTAACAGATGTGAAGTGGTATCTCATCGTGGTTTTAGTTTGCTTTTCTCTGATGTTTAGTGACATTGAGCATCTTTTCATGTCGACCATTTGCATGTCCTCTTTGGAGAAATGTCTATTCAGATCCTCTGCCCATTTTTTAATTGGACTCTTTTTTTTTGGTGTTATGAGAGTTCTTTATATGTGTGTATTGGATTACAAGCCTTTATTGGATATATCATTTGCAAATATCTTTTCCCATTCAGTAGGTTGCCTTTTCATTTTGTTGATGGTTTTCTTTACTGTGCAAAAACTTTTTAGTCTGTAGTTCTATTTGTTTATTTTTTCTTTTGTTTCCCTTGCGTAAGGAGATATATTTAAAAACATATTGCTAAGAATGATGTTAATGGCTTTACTGCCTATGTTTTCTTCTGGGAGTTTTATTGTCTTTGGTCTAACATTTTAGTCTTTAATCCATTTCGAGGGTTTTTTTATATATATATGGTGTAAGAAAGTGGTCTAGTTTCATTTTTTTGCATGTATCTGTCCAGTTCTGGCAACACCACTTATTGAAGAGACTGTCTTTACCCCATTCTATATCCTTCTCTCCTTTGTCGTAGATGAATTGATAATATAAGCAAGGATTTATTTCTAGGTTCTCTATTCCATTGATCTATATATGTATTATTATGCAGATACCATACTGTTGTGATTATTGTTGCTTGTAGGATACTTTGATATCAGGGAGTGTAATACCTTCCACTTTGTTCTTTCTCAAGATTTCTTTGAATATTTGGGATCTTTTGTGATTCTGAGAGTATTGCTATTGGTATTTTAATAGGTATTGCCTGAATGTGTATGTTAGTTTAGATAGTAAGGATGTTTTAACGATGTTAATCCTTCCAATCCATGGGCAAGGTATGTACTTTCACATATTATACTGTTCAGTTTCTTTCTTCAGTGCCTTATAGTTTTCAGAATGCAAGACTTCACACCTTTGGTTCAGTTTATTCCTAGATATTTTATATTTTCTGAGGTAGTTGTGAATGGGATTGTTTTCTTAATTTCTTCTGTTCGTTCGTTATCGGTATATAGAAATTCAGCAGGTTTCTGTATATTGATTGTGTATCCTACAACTTCACTGAAGTCATTTATTCTAATAGGTTTTTGGTGGAGTTTTTTAGTGTTTTCTATATTGAGTATCATATCATCTGCAAATAATAAGAATTTTACATTTTCCTTTATGATTTGGATGCCTTTCATTTGTCTTGTCTGATTGCCATTGCTAGGACTTAACAATATTGTGTCGAATGGAAGTGGTAGCCGTGGGCATCCTTGTCTTGTTCCTGATGATGTTAGAGGAAAAGCTTTAGCTTTTCAACACTGAGTATGGTGTTAATGTGGATTTGTCATATATGGCCTTTATCATGTTGAGGTATGTTCCTTCTATACCGACTCTATTGGGATTTTTTTAATTATAAAAAGCCATTGAATTTTGTCAAATGTTTTCTCTGCATCTATTGAGATGATTTTACGGTTTTTATTTTTTATTTTGTTAATGTTATGTATCACGTGAATTGGTTTATAGATATGGAACTTAATTGACATAGAAGAAAGTTAATACGTTTAAAGTGTACAATTTGATGTGTTTTTACATATGCGAAACTGTCATATTCAAGATGATGAGCATCATTATCATCAGGAGAAGTTTCCTCATGTCCATTTGTAATGTCTTCCTGCCACCCCTCAACAACACCCCTATGTATCCAGTAGTAATCACTGAGCTGTGTTTTGTTCAGTACATAATAGTTTGCATTTTTAAAATTATGAAAGTGGTCTGCGGCCACGCCACCCTGAACAAGCCCGATCCCATCTGATCTCGGCAGCTAAGCAGGGTCGGGCCTGGTTAGTACTTGGATGGGAGACCACCTAGGAAGACCAGATGCTGTAGGCGTAAAAAATAAAAAATAAGGAATTGTAAGCTGACAAGGTCCTTGCCGTCTGTGAGGTCAACCAAGGGTTGGCTCGCCTAAAAAAAAAAAAAATTAAAATTATGAAAATGGAATAGTATAAAATATAGTCATTTTTCTTTTGGCTTTAGTTATCCACATTTTTGGGGAGATTTGTACATGTTGCATGTATCGATATGGATGTAACTGTTAGGTTTGTTGGAATAAAGAAGAGAGACCAGCCTTGAAAATTCCCAGGGCAGATCAGATCAAACCAGTTTAGACTTACAAACAAAGCTTCGTTTAGCTTATCGTTCAAGACTAACTTGATCTGGGTCGTTTCTCGCTCATACCTGTGGAAATCATGAGCAGAGCTTGAGCTGTTTCCCAAGGTCGATGCAGGGAAACCAGTGGAAGTTCTGATTAGAACCAGCTTCCGGGAAGAGGAAACAGAAGGAGCAGTTCCGTCCGTTACGCCCCCCGAGTTTCACGCCGTGTTTCCGTCCCGGTGCCCCCAGTTTGGAAGCTATATGCTCGGCGCGTGCACAATAAAACTTTACTGATTACTCCTTTGGTGACTTACTGGTTCTATTTCTGTCGTTTGTGAACATTTGACAGTTAATGGTGTCAGAAATGGAATCCAGCGAAGACCCATCCAGTGACCGTGAGACCTGGGAGCGACCAGATGTTGCTGAGCACAAAGCTTACCCTTTGGGCCGACCCCGGAGTGTGCGTGGCAGTCTCTCGGGATCTGATCTCTGCTCTGCCTGCCGAGCTCTCCAGCTTTATGGTGTCCACTTGATTTCAGTTCTGCTTTTGTTTATTAGAGCTTCCGGGTAAGTCACCCTATTCTGTTCAAAAGGAATGAAAATACGTCATTCCCTGTGTCTTGGAAAACAGACCCATCGCAGTTAGGATGAATCGGGGAATCTGAAGGCCAGTACGGGTTCCACCTGGTTTTTGGACAAGACCATGTGTCTCTGTGGTAAAATTACTGAACTTTAGAATCAGAGTGGCCATTTTGAGGAACTTTTATCTTAATAAGTCCGCTTTGAGGGGCAAACCTCTCAGAGACAGTGATATGCAGAAGCTACTAAATGACAAAGTGCCTGAAGAAACAGCTCTAAAAGGATCCTTACAGCATGCAAATAAAAAAACCTTTAGTAAAAGACTGGTCATTTGAGCAGGTCATTTGACCTAATCTATCGGCCAGAAACACGATTTGGATCCAGCTATTCCTTTGAGTTTTGTACCTGAGACACGGCTAAAATTTTTAAAACAAAACTATAAGATCTCTATTTGTCTGACTGTATGTCTGTGTATATATGTTATAGGTATGTGAGATTTTTCTATCTCTGAATCGTATTGCCAAAATTAAATTGTAAAGAGCTGTATTTCATTGACTTAAGAAAATCAGGTTTACTCTTAATAATATAAAAACTAAGCCAAATGTTTCTTAAGTTTACATGATCTGGGATAATCTTTAATAAACAAAAGGTAGTTTCAGTTTTGTGGTTTAATAAAAGCAGGCACATCATCAAAATTTGTCAGCAAGGAAAAGATAATGGTTCACTGTTTAATGTCTAATCCAAACATAATTGTTAAAAAATAAGCAATTTAAATAAATAAGTGAGATCAGAGTTCATACTAAGTTATACTAAATAATGGATATTTATTGAATATCTAGACAATTTCCAAATAAAATAAACTTTAAATGCTAAGTATAAGTTTAAGTTATCTTCTTTTGGCTTTTTAATTTATCACAGAGAAACAGAACATATTTTGATCTGTTGATAAACATGCTTTCTGCCACATTGAAAAATTATTGAAGAATATACTTCTAAAAAATTTGAAGCGTATTTATAAGTTTATCTACTATAAGATGCTAATATGTGATAGGCAATTCGCAATTGCCTGCTTCCCAATTTTCACTTGAAAGCAAAGATTACAAAAGCTCAATATGGACAGGCAGAGTATCTCGGTAGAAAAATAAAAGTAATAAGAAACAACCACACAGGGATTTTAGAACTTAAAATTACAATAAGCAAATAAATTACTCACATGATGGTCTCAGTAGCAGAACTGAGATGAGAGAGTCAAAACAATCAGCGAAATTGAAGAAAGACCAACAGCAGTTATTCAGCCTGAAGAACAGAGAGAAAAACATTGGAAAAAAAAGTGAAGAGAGATTCAGGGACCTGTGGAACAACGCTTTTAATTCTAAAATTTGTGTCATCAGAGTGCATAAAAAATATTTTAAAAATAATTACTAAAAGTTTAACAAGGTTATCGAAAAATATTTTAAAAATATTTTTAAAATATTTTAAAAATAATTACTAAAAGCTTAACAAGGTTATCGAAAGACCTGAATACAGATTCACAAAGCATAGGATACTCCAAACAGAATAAGCTTTAAAAAAAAAAAAAACCCAAAACCCATCCATATATATAATTAAACTGATGAAAACCAAACATCAAATCTTGAAATAAGATAGTGAAAAATGATGTGTTACACATAGCAAAACTTTGAAAAACTGGATTCCCTTATCAGAGACCATGGAAACCAGAAGACCGTAGAAGAACATTTTTGCAGTGCTTAAAAAAAAAGAAAAGTCAGGCAGGAATTTTATTTCCGGCAAAAACATCCTTTAGGAAGGAAAGTAAATAAAGATTTTTTAACAATAATTGTTTAATTTGTCAGCAATAGTTGGCATACAATATTTGTTTTATTTGCAGATGTACAGCATAGTGATTAGACATTTATATGATTTATGAAGTGATCACCCCAATAAACCTAGTAGCCACCTGGCACCATACATGGTTATTACAGTATTATCGACTGTATTCCCTATGCTGTACTTTACGTCCCGTGACTATTTCGTAGCTGCCAGTTCCTACTTCTTAATCCCTTCTTTTCACCCACTCCCCACCCCCCTCCTATCTAGTAATCCTTAAAATGTTCTCTGTATCTATAAGTTTGTTTCCGTTCTGTTCGTTTGTTTATTTTCTTCTTTAGACTCCACTTGTAAGTGAAATCATATGACATTTGTCTTTGAGTTACTCCACTCGGCACAATACCCTCCAGGTCCATCCATGTTGCAGATGGCAAGATTTCATTCTTTTTAGGACTACTATTCCATTGTGTATATGCACCACCTCTTCTTTATCCATTCACAAACTGATGGACACCCAGGCTGCCTCCTTATCTTGGCTGTTGTGAATAATGCTGCAATGGACATATGGATTCACATGTCCCTTTGAAGTAGTGCTTTGGGTTTCTTCAGATAAACACCCAGAAGTGGGATCACTGGGTCCTTCTTTGACTCTTCTTATAGCCTTTGTTTTAAAGTCTGTTTTGTCTAGTGTAAGTATTGCTACACCAGATTTTTTTTCATTTCCATTTTCACGAACGTCTTCTCCATCCCTTTCAGTCTGTGTGTGTCTTTCGATCAAGTGGGTCTCTTGTAGGCAGCATATGGAAGGGTCTTGTTTTCTTATCCATCCAGCCAACCTATCTTTTGATTGGAACATTTAATCCTTTTTCATTTAAAGTGATTGTTGATAGATATTTAGTTATAGCCATTTGATTAGTTATATTCTTGATCTTTTATTCTTTTATTTTTAATTTTTTTTTGGCATTTATGCAATTTATAAAGCGATTCCCCCTGTTACTCTAGTTCCTATCTGGGACTATACATAGCTATTACAATAAAAATATTTTGAAATAAAGGAAGACTAAGAGAATTTGCAGTCAGCAAACCTCTAAAAAATATTGAAGAAAGTTATAACAGAAGAGAAATGATCCCAAAGGGAAACTTGGAATGTCAGGGATAAAAGAAATTTCAAAATGTCAAATATCTGTACAAATTCAGTAGCATATTTTGTTCTTTTATATTAAGAGTCAAAGCAAAAGTAATATTTTCGGAGGAGTTTTCCTTGGCTGTGGTTGGAATGCATGTGAGTCTAATGTAAAGGAGAAGGGTCTCCGACTGCTTTTACTCAACATAGTATAGCCACAGGATTCGTACCAGAAATAGAAATAAAAGGCATCCAAATGGGAAAGGAAGAGGGAAACTATCACTCTTCCCAGATGACATGATGCTATGTGTATGAAATCCTAAAGACTCCCATTAAAAAATATTCAAACTAAGAAGATTGTAAACTACACACGTGCGTTTTAATCTGAAGGGTAGCCACTATGAAAACTATACAAAGAAATTCCCAGATACCTAAAGATATATTAAAATGGAATACTGAAATGTATTCCAGTAAACACAACAGCACTGTAGACAAAGAAATAGTAAAATGCAGATCCACACAGCAGCTTTTCGATACATGCATTAAATGTAAATGGTCTTAAACCCATGAATTAAAAGAGATTTTTCAAATGGATAAAACGAAGCACAGTAACCAACTGAATGCTGTCTACAAGGAACCTTTAAATATAGGATCTGTAAAAGTAGAAAAAATGTAAGAACTTTAAGTCTGACTGTGTTTTATTTCCGGGTAAGAAGCAAGTCACCTCCACCTGTCCTCGCCCATTACTTGCAGCTGTGAAACCTACACAGCTGTTGGAAGACTGAAAAGTAAATAACACCGAGTGGAATGGGAAGCAGCGGTGACACGTGACGTTGTATCCATCGTGAGTACATAATCTTTCTTCGGCATCTTCCCGGCTGGACTAAATCCGTGGGTGTCAGCATTGGCCTGCACTGGGGGACATCCAGGAGATGGCACCTAGTTCTCATTTGAACCGTGGGAGGAGAACTCGTAAAGTCAGGCTGGGGTGAACCTCCTGATCGTTTCGTCTATTCAATCTTCTCGTACCCCAGCCCTCAAGACAATCCCAAGCTGCCAGTAGAGGTCATTAGGACAAGAAGAACACGGTGCCCAGAGGACCCTAAATTCTGAGATAGTGGAAGTTTCCATTCCGATCCGAGGAACTGCGGTCCTAAGATGGCGAGGCCAACCCTCCGTGTTTTCGCTCTCATTCCGCTACTTGGCTCCAGGGACCGTACTGATCACCGAGGACCAAAAATAGGAGTGCCAGGTAACCAGAAAATACTGGGGAGAGTGTGGAGACCGGAAGCTGGGGAAGTGACACCTCGTGCTGCTTGCACAGCCCTGGGCTCACCCCTGAGCTGTGTGAATGGGTGACTGTCCCTAGAATGCGTACTGTTACTACATGCGGACCCGTGCAAAAGCCCCAGGCTGAAAGTCTGTAAGCAGAGGACAGAGAAGGGCCATGAGAGGGGCAGGCCACTGCAGTCCGGCCATTGACAGGGGTCATTAAAGGAAAGTCTCATACGAAGTGTGCCCTGTGTGGCTGCAGGATGAACTGGATGTCCTCCGTGTCGCTTGACACGCGCCAGAGAATGATGTAGGGTAAGAGGGATGGCGACAGTCACGGGCACCAGCCGCTGAGTGCTGCGGGGTGCAGGACATTACTTGGCGTGCTTGGGTCAGGACAGCGTCCTGTTCCAGGAAGCAGCGTGTAGCGGCAGGCGAGGGAAGGCCGCTGGTGGATGTCACAGTGTGCATCCGTTACGGCCAGTTTCATCTGGGGACGTTGTAAGGAGCAGCCTCCACTCTGGTGGGTTCCAGCTCCGGGTCCAGCAGCAGTCTCACCGTGGGACAGTCTCCCCCACACTCCGCCCCTCGTCACCGGCTCTTACAGTCTCACGCACCCCCTGCTCTGCGAGCTCACCTGAGTGGTAAGTGCCTTCACCAGCATGGAGGTGGCACTTTTAGTCACCGGTTGACCTCATTCATGACAGTTCACAGCAATAGTACAGGCATATGCAAAGGGGAAAAAAAAGACAAGTGAAATAGTCCAAGTATTAGTGACAGTTTTTTTTCATCACACCCCCCAGGAACTGAGCCGGTGTTTTAACAGGTCATCTAGGCTTCGAGTTGGTTCACGCAGGGAGTTTAGTGGACTTTTCAGATGTGGTAATGACAAAGACGTCATTAGTACACTCGTCAGCTGTGAAAACACAACATTTAGTTCACATGCTGGCACCGATGCCACAGGAACGGCAGAAGTCTGAGGTCGGAAAGACAGGTATTTAGCAGGGACTTGAGTCGGGAGGTCTTCTCTTCTGTGAGAACCCCTGGTGGAGCCAGCTCCGTGGATGTCACCGTGGCTGCAACTTCGGGGGCCTGGCAGGCAGTGTGCGCCGTGCGCACTGGCCTAGCCGGCGGAGTCGCTCTCCACAGTGAGGACGGAGACTTTCCGCTCCAGGGGTTCATAGGCTGTGAAAGCTGTCTACACAACACGCAGCAAACAATGCACTTAAAGCACACCACAGAAAACACTCTCAAACAGCAACCATAAGAAACAAGCAACCTCCAATGATTGGCAGAATATTTGAAAGACCCTGGAAAGAACATGCACAAATGACAGAGGCATATAAAAACATGCTCGACATCGTTAGCCCTTAGGAAAATGCAGCTGTCACGATGGCAGAGTTAAGTAGTTGGCTTTTTACTATAAAGTTAAATATACATTTACCGTATGAGCCACTAATCCCATTCCTGAGTATTTATCTTAGACAAGGGTCTAGAAAACTTTTCCTGTAAAGTACCAAGCAGTATATATTTTAGTCATCGTGGGCCAAGTAGTCTCTACCACAACTACTTAACTCACCATTGTAACATGGAATAAGTTATAGAAAAGATATAACTGGATGAGCATGGCTGTGTTCCAACAAAACTTCTTTTACAGATACTGAAATTTGAATTTCATACCACTTTCATGGGTCAGGAAGTATTTTTTAATTTTTTTTCCAGCCATTTAAAATGTAAAAACTATCGCTAGTGTTTTGGCCACAAAACAGGTGATGGGCCAGATGAGGCCTTCAGGCCATAGCTCGCTGACCCCTCTCAGAGGAAAACCTTTGCTCTCACTTTTAAAACAGCTTTATTTGATCACTTCATAAAGTACATAAATGTCTACCCATTATGTAGTATACTTGAAAGTAGTATAAAATAATATCGAGTGTCCACTCTAGCTGAAAACTTTTTTAATTTCAAAATTAAAAAAAAAGAAAAGCTTTATTTGCTACTGCCAAACCTGAAAACAGTCTAAATGTCCTTTAACTGGTCGATTGACTTTTAAAAAGTGGTAAATCTATGCAATAGAAATACATTCTATAAAACTTAATAATAAAGCTCACAATTGACCATTGACTAGTAGGTATTTTAAGAATTTTAAAAATTTGTGATGGACGGTTAAGGATATTAACAAAGTGAGAAAAATTGTGAGGTCACCCAACTCTGATTGCACTGTAGGGTTTGTCTTTATCAAACAAATGTAAAAGAACTAGTTACGGTTCAATTTGAATGAAACTGCCTGCTATTGTTGGTTAACTTCGATCGTTAATATTTACATTCCTTTTTTGAGCCTGCCTAGGTCTTAGGCTCAATAAAGGCCTGAGATACTGACAACCGATTTGTGTGTTTTCTTCTGGCTTTTTTGATGACTGTGTCTACTGCCTCATCTGGATTCATTAGCAATATCTAGAAAACTTGCAAAAAATAAGCGTTTTGTGTTTTTCATAGAGACAGCACGGAAAGTATTCCTGTTGATATTAATGAGGAAATTAATTTTGCATAATTTATTTCAGTCTAAGTAAAATGTGAAGAATTGGAAAGACAATACCAACATTGGTGAAAATACGAAGTGACTGGAACTCTCCCGTACTGCTATTGAGGATGCAAAACAGGGCAGCTACGTTGGGAACTGTTTGGTAGTTTTTAACATAAAGGGAAAATACACTCCCGTAAAATTCCGTCATTCCATTCCTTCATATTTACCTAGGACGAATGGAAGTAATTGTCCATAAAAGGATTTGTGTATAACATCGATTGGTTTACTTTGGCAGAAAACTGCCAAAAAAATTCCATAATACTAGGCAAATTTGAAATCATGTATTGCAAGATATAGGGGGAGGCCATCGGGAAGACGTGACTTGCCAGGTGACCCTCGAGCTAGACCCGGGCAATTGGAGGTCCCCCACCGCCTCCCCATCCTTGGTCCTTGGCACGTGCATCTGCTTGCCTTGGCCCCAGAAGCTCCCGCAGGGACAGGCTTGTAGAAACGTGCTGTTGAGACCCGGACTGTGCGTGTGACAGAGCCCAGTGAGGGCTTCTACACTAACTTTTAAGGTTCGGCGGGAGGGTGCAGAACGCTACTCGTTTTCTAGCTGCCAGAGGCTCATTAAAACTGTCATCTCTAATCTGCCTCTTCAGTCTCTCCCTGCTCTCCTCCTGTGGGGGCCAGTTTCGGATTACACCTGGGAAGCTCCTGGCCAGTTTGTAAACCAACAGTTGTTGAGTCAGCCAGGACACCAAAGATGAGCTTCGGGATAGAGGCATCCGAAGGGAAAAATGACACGTTGGCCATCGAACTCTGTGCGGGGAGGAGTAGCGCATACGTCATGGTCGTGGGCCACCACGTGAGTATGGGGATGCTCTAGAACCACTCGCTGCTTCAGTGGGCTTGTTTGAGGAACCGTGCACAGCACACTGTGGCAGAGGTCAAACTTGCAAAAAGCATCAGTCAAACAATGACTGTAGAGGACAGAAAACTTAAAATGACATGGTTACGGGTCTGATGATAATGCACCCACGGAAGACGAGCACCGAACTGACTATTCATTTAGTGCCCGCCACAAGCAATCCGAGTTTCTCTGAAGGCTCCGTCTCAGGCTCCATCATAAGCTACACCGTTGTCCATCAGACACCCCTGACCGTATACATTTCCTATCTTCATATCAATGGGGAAACCTGAAAACATTTTTCAGTCGACTGACATTTAAGTGACTTGCTTATACAGTTTTAAAACAGCTGTGTTCCTTGCAGTCTCCCATAGGGCAAGGCATCAAGTATTTCAGAAGGCAGCCAGCCATATGCTTCCCTTTATACTTTCTAAGACAGTTTAAGTTCTAATGCAATTTAAAAATCAAATTGTCAAGTCGTCTTGTTTTTACTATTATTTTCATAAGTGTAGAGCAGGGGATACACCTCACAGTGTGCACTCTTCCCGACTGTCTACCATGCTCATAAAACCTTTGCGATTGATTCTAACACGCACATCAGTGCGCTTGGCGAGCATATCAGGAGGAAGATGGCGAGCGGGAAGATCTCATGAGAGCCGGAACACTGGAGAAGACAGGGAGCACACTCACTCCCAGCCCTAGCTCTGTAGACTCGCGGTGATTTTCGTATAAGCTCCAGAACATTTGCTTTACTATTAGGAATATATGTATAAAAAGACAACATCGCTATGTCCTTATTTGACATAGATTCCCATGTAATTTCAACACACCAAACTCAGCTTAGTTGAATATTTCTCTCTCGTAAAGAGAAAATGCATCTTTTGAGGTGTTCCGGGGTCCCATCGGAACAACCCAAAGCCATTTCTAGGTTAAGAAAAAGTCTTTTTCTGTGTCTCCATCTGTCTCTCTGTCTCTGTCTCTCCCACTCCTCTGCCCCTTTATAATTTGAACCCTGGGAAGTGTGTCAACCCTCCTTGACTGAAAAGAGCACGTATCATTATGAGACAATATTGAATTATTCATTTACGCAAAGTGACAAAAAGAGACATCAAACATAAATACTGGTTAGCATAGCATAACTTTACTTCTCAGGATTGAGAAGACTGTTCTTAAGTAATCAAGGACCTTATTGACGCAACAAAAGACTGTTGTTATATTCTGTTATAATAAAACAGAATCTGCTTTCTAGGTAGAGAACTTTTCATAGTATCAGTGGCCTACGAAAGGTCCAAGAAACCCTGCCCTATTCAGCAGGGAGAGAAAACCGAACTAATTACACCCGGGCTTGCTTTCGATATTTAAATTCATTTACCTAATTAAATTTATTTCAGTCTTACTCAGTTAAACTACGTGAAACTTCCTCAAGATTTTTCTTTCCGAATCTACAGCTTCCCCATTCCCCTTCAGTTTGCCTCTTCCTTACTCTGAAGCCATCAACGTTAGCACAAATCACTTCAATTTCCTTCAAAGACGTAGCTCTATATCCCATTCCTTCTATTACCGCAAATAGTTTCTTTCTACCTTAGGTAGAATTGTCAACCCTGAGAAGCCTCAGTTTCTAGTGGCGACTAAAAGTAAGCAGTTCAGTGCTCTTCAGACTGGCAAAGTCGGGGACGCATTTCATAATCCTCAGAAACGGGCTCCTTCGTCGGCAGGCACGTTACGGGTTTTGAAGGCATCCTTCTAGTGGGGCAAAAGGCCGTTCGTTAACAGACCCGAATCCATCTGTCAGCTTCTCTGTACTAAGAGGCCAGTAGTGAGTGAACTTAGATTAAGTGTTTCAGAATTTCGTGTTATTTCAGAATATCTAGAAAGTCAATAATTGTTATCGTTTAACTTAGTGAAAACTCTAAGGTTTCAAGGTAGCGTCTTGAGGGAACTGAAGTGGTAAATCAGCCACATCCAGAGACTGCAGTATGCTGGTCACCCTGCAGCCCGGCCACCGGCCACCTGCGCAGCAAAGGATTCCTGCCGGGGTTGCTGGCGGCCACTTCCCCACACCCTGAAGGGAAGAGAGTCTTGAAGTGGCGCCTACACAAAATGTTGTTCATTCCCTATGGCCGAGACTAGGAACCGCCAGCAGCAGTTCAGGCCGCATGCCACCTCCCCGTCCTCCCTGCGCCCAGAGCAGAGGACACGGGCAAACAGTCTGGACCGTAAGTCGGGAACAGGCACGACAAACGCTGACTTCCCAAACGCTCGGGTCCCTCTCAGTGTCTCTCGCTCCCTTCATCTCGACTGTCTCTGTCCCTCCGAGTCCCTCTCAGTCCCTTGACTCTGTCTCCCTCACCGCCCTCACCGCCCTCGTCTCCACTGTCTGTCCCTCAGCCTCTCACTGTCCCTCTCACCCCCTGCCTCTGAGAGGGGACCACGCTCTATGGAGCGTCACCCCTTTTCTAATTCTTTTCTCTCGACGACGGCGCGTGTGTGGAATTCTTTCTAGAATTCTTTCCACACTCTCCGCCAAACCCTCTTCTCAGTGCAGGCCTTGGTCTCCCCCGACTCGGGGGAGTTTGCCCGGTCCTGCCTCAGAGTTACCAGAAGAATTTGGGAAGCTGTGGTTAAGCATGGACATAGGTATCATGTAATTATTATCACTGAAAAGCTTTATCAGCCTTTTAGTTACATCCATTTATTCTTAATAATTCTATATGATTTCAAAGTTAGTTATTACCCAAGCTATTTTCATGACAGATTTTGTAAAAAGGTAATATGAACTTATGAAAATAATTAATACCTTTCTTCCCACCTTCCGAGTTCTTCTAATCCAATTAACAGAGACAGATTAATAGGAGAAAATCCAAATTTTGAGATGTGTGTGGGGGGAATTCATATAAGCACGAAAATTCCAAAGATAGTGAAGCAACATTGGGTATGTCAAGACATTTCTGGAGAGAAGAGAAGGGGTGGCGGTGGGGTGTTTAGAAGTGAGAACGGGCGATTTACAGGTAGTCGAGAATTCTTGCTGGGCGCCTGGGAGACAGTGGGGCTCAGGGGGCATCTAGCTAACTGGCTAGGAGTCTTCCTGACTAATGCCAGGGCGAAGACCCTTAAGAGGATTAAGCACAGACCTCGTTCTTTTATTATTATTATTATTATTATTATTATTATTATTAATTTCTTAAAAGTTTTCAACTATATTTTCCCTGCTATTCTTTCAATCCTTTACCCCATACACAAGTGTTGAAACATATTGCAAAGGTGAGGCTGG